TTCACCTAGGACATCCTTGCCAAGAGATCCCGGAAATTAGCCAACCAGGCTGCTAGGAAGGCGGGAAAGAAGCCGTGTGATGCAAAGTCGACCGCTTTCTTCATCAAGCCGACAATGAGCGAGTCGGATGTGATCACTACACGTGAGAGCAAGAAGAGGAGACGTATGGAGGCCCGCATGGAGAAGCGTCGGGCCCGAGTGGCGAAGAAGACCACAGTGGAGGCGCTGGAGGCACGTCAGGCAGATGCCGCGGACAGACGCCAGGTTCATAATATCTTCTACTACCTGCGAAAGTAACAACCCCTATTATCCTTGTTATAGATCTAGACAAACACAGAACTGACATTACAGTGTTTATCCACAAATCGTTAACTGAATCATATACAGGATAAAAGCGTAAATTTTACATTGATATCTCACTACCAAATCGCTGTGGCTGGCCTATGTGACATGATTGTATTCCTGTTTCTCCTCCGTACAGGAGAAGGTGCGAGCCACCGTGGACAAGGCCAAGCGTTTCGGCCGCCCCGCCAGCCCCCTGTGGATGGAGCCAGCAGGCCGCCCCGCCAGCCCCGTGTGGATGGAGCCAGCAGGTAAACTCGGCAAGGAGGAGCACCGGGAGTCGCACGAGAAGGGAGCGTAAACTGCGTTACGTATACATGTACATACGAGAGACCACAACCATAAACCTGTTCAAATCTGAGACTCTTAAAACAGCAATTTGTAGTCTGAACATAGTAGACTACCTTACTACAGTTTGATTCATACATGCAGTATCTATAGATGGTTTTTGGAACGAACTCAAAGTATATCTTTAAGGGTCACAATTCGAACAGAGCACGCCAAATTAATAACACCAACATGGCCACCAAGGAAAATGTACAGCGGCCGTTTGTTTGTTTATGCTACATTGTTAATGTTTGTTTATACTATATTTTTTAAAAAATGGAAAAAAATATTATTAAAGTTGTTATACATAATATGTTCCAAGGCGACATGTTCTGCCCAGACTTTAATATTTGACCAGGTACCCAGCTGTGTTAACTCCTTCTCACTGACGGGCTTGTTTTACTACAGACCGATTTTGAAAAAAAAATAAAATAAAATAAAAAAGAATTTTTAAAAATGCACCATGTCCCCGGTCAAAAAGTTACAGTATTGTCGCACTCAGAAGTTATTTACTCATTAACCATGCTAAGTTATATTCAGTACCCAAAGGAGCATACCAAAAGTTTGACCTAGTTCTAGAACACGTCATTTGTCTCTGCTCTCAACTATCGACGAAATACATTGTACTTCATGTCTAAAAACAGCTACAATTTTCTGTCACAAACGTTTATAGCACTATGTTTGTTGTTAGAAATCAAAACTTTTGAAATATCTAAGACAGGTGAATAAAGTTTTGAATTTCTGAGACGATCCGTGATTTGTTTGCTTCAATTTGTTAGGGTTACGCCCTCCTGTAATAGCTGGAAATTAGCACTGCATATTCTTCTCACATTCTTCTGTGCACTCGAAATTAGCACTGCATATTTCTTCTTTCATAATTCCGTCCATTCTTTGGTTTCTTTTCATTCTTTCTCTCCTCCTTTCTCTCTTTCTTAATGCGGACTGGGAGGTGTGTGGGTAGTGAATGTACGGATTCACAAGGACGCGTAGCGGCTGTCGATGGAACTACACCCCGGCTGCAGGTCCCAGGCACGTTTATATATCAAGTTCAATCGTATACAACAGAAAAAAAGCAGAGATATCGAAGTGACGGCGATAAAAGATACGTTACAATATGTTATCGTCAAAAGCCAGCCTCAGACTGTATTAAACCTCGTCCGTTGATAGCATAGAATGACCTGGTAGAAATTGACCATATTTGAACGTCGAAGTACCGCAGACCAACACGTGTATATTTGTTGACTCAAGTTTATTGCTATCAAGTCCCGTATTATACCTTCTCGTGAATATGACACCCCCGTTATGCATGTTCGAATCGTCCACGATGTCCACCGTTTGTGACGTCTCTCTGTCTCCAAGCGCTGTTTGGAACAACAACGTTCCACTGACCACATTTCCCTGCTCGTCATCGTCAGAGACAGACGCCATGTGGGAAACTATCACAAGTATACTGAGCTGTTGCGCTCTTATCAAAACCAATAAAGTCACACCAACTGGAGAAGGAGTAGATGATGGACCGAAGGAGTCACCTGAGCCACAGGACATGTCTATGGACAGGGGGAATGACGGTAAGTGACGCGGACGCCTTTTACGGTGAACCCTCCGGATTCACCTGCCGGAATCTGATACTAGTATATAGTAAACCTTGAATTCTGCACCGCCTCTCAACTGCGCTCACTGCGTTACCGAGCAATACGGATGGTAATTTATAATATACAGGATACTTCAGTGTAATATCACTATGTTTCTATGAAAGATAAACAAAATCGCTTTTGCCATTCATGTCTTTTTAAATCAATCGGCATACCCAAGTCAACATTGATACCACTCTTCTCTTTGCTTCTCCGTGACCGACCGTACATTGCGATTTATTCCAGAAGTATTCCTCGTGCAAGTCGCACAGGCTCCGCTGTCCCAAGCCAGGTCTACCAAGTCGTCGGACGACGTACTAGCCGACCTGCGACAGGCGGGAGTAATTCCCATTAAATGCCAGCCGACCTCCGTGGCCTTTGAGGTGTCGGACCCGAAGACCGCCTCAGCGAACAACGCGCCCCCGCGCCGCCCAGTCAGGCTGGAGAAGTTAGATCGCAAAATGGAGGAGAGGCGGGAGATGGTGAAGAAGAGAATCGCCGAGACCCCCAACGAACTGCGGACGCAGTTAAACGAAGCAGACGAGCGAAGACGGGTAAGTTTATCTTCTGATATGTGTTGTGAAAATAACGTAAATAAAAGTACGTGAATGGGTGGAAAGTTAGATGGAAAGATTAACGGACCAATGCAAGAACAAAAGGAAATGAAAGTTTGAGACAAGTACTCATCATTGATATTCACCTAGGACATTCTTGACAAGAGATCCCGGAAATTAGCCAACCAGGCTGCTAGGAAGGCGGGAAAGAAGCCGTGTGATGCAAAGTCGACCGCTTTCTTCATCAAGCCGACAATGAGCGAGTCAGATGTGATCACTACACGAGAGAGCAAGAAGAGGAGACGTATGGAGGCCCGCATGGAGAAGCGTCGGGCCCGAGTGGCGAAGAAGACCACAGTGGAGGCGCTGGAGGCACGTCAGGCAGATGCCGCGGAGAGACGCCAGGTACATAATATCTTCTACTACCTGCGAAAGAAACAACCCCTATTGTATAGACAAACACAGAACTGACATTACAGTGTTTATCCGCAAATCGTTAAACTGAATCATACAGGATAAAAGCGTAAAGAGATGTTCACAATGCAATGTCACTACCAAATCGCTGTGGCTGGCCTATGTGACATGATTGTATGTCTGTTTCTCCTCCATACAGGAGAAGGTGCGAGCCACCGTGGACAAGGCCAAGCGTTTCGGCCGCCCCGCCAGCCCCGTGTGGATGGAGCCTGCAGGTCAACTCGGCAAGGAGGAGCGCCGGGGGACGCACGAGAAGGGACCGTAAACTACGTCACATACGAGAGACCAAAACCACCGACCTGTTTAAATTTGCTGAGACTCTTAAAACAACAATTTGTAGTCTGAACTTAGTAGACTACCTTACTACAGTTTGATTCATACATGCAGTATCTATAGGTGGTTTTTGGAACGAACTCAAAGTATATCTCAAAGTTAAGGGTGACAATTCGAACAGAGCACGCCAAATTAATAACACCAACACCACACCAAGGAAAAATGTACAGCGGCCGGTTCCATAACATAATGTTTGTTTATACTATAAAAAAATGGAAAAAATATTATTAAAGTTGTTATACATAATATGTTCCAAGGCGACATGTTCTGCCCAGACTTTAATATTTGACCAGGTAACTCGATCCTTCTCACTGATGGGCTTCTTTTGCTACAGACCGATTTTGAAAAAAAATATTAAAAAATAAAATAAAAAAGAATTTTAAAAGATGCACCATGTCCCCGGCCAAAAAGTTACAGTATTGTCGCACTCAGAAGTTATTTAGTCATTAACCATGCTAAGTTATATTCAGTACCCAAAGGAGAATACCAAACGTTTGACCTAGTTCTAGAACACGTCATTTGTCTCTGCTCTCAACTATCGACGAAATACATTGTACTTCATGTCTAAAAACAGCTACAATTTTCTGTCACAAACGTTTATAGGACTATGTTTGTTGTTAGAAATCAAAACTTTTGAAATATCCAAGACAGGTGAATAAAGTTTTGAATTTCTGAGACGATCCGTGATTTGTTTGCTTCAATTTGTTAGGGTTACGCCCTCCTGTAATAGCTGGAAATTAGCACTGCATATTCTTCTCACATTCTTCTGTGCACTCGAAATTAGCACTGCATATTTCTTCTTTCATAATTCCGTCCATTCTTTGGTTTCTTTTCATTCTTTCTCTCCTCCTTTCTCTCTTTCTTAATGCGGGCTGGGAGGTGTGTGGGTAGTGAATGTACGGATTCACAAGGACGCGTACCGGCTGTCGATAGAACTGCACCCCAGCTGCAGGTCCTAGTCATGTTTATCAAGCATAGGTATAGAAGTGACGGCAATAAAATATACGATATAATGTATTATCGTCAAAAGCCTAAGACTGTAACTTAGTCCTTTAATAGCATAGAACGACCTGGAAGAAATTGCCATCTTTGAACGCTGAAGTACCGGCAACATGTGTGTATTTGTGCATGTTTAGTATTAAACTTATGACTGGCTCACGTACTTAAACAAGAACCTCCATCAACAATAACCGGCTAACCAAAACAGACACCATGACCATCACTCACATCAAAAGAAAATCACGTCGCCGAGGCGTGTTTTAAACGCTCTTTATTGCGTGCCACTCTATACCGCTATGGGGCGCTTTTGATCCGTAACCAGATCTGCCCCACCCGGAAATGATTTGTCCATCCGGAGTGTACACGTATGACTGAACAGAAGATTTACAACATATTTTCGCACGTGTTGCGTTTCTCAAGAGCTTGAAAGCAACTTTTTCTCTATCCATGGCGTCCAGAGGTGGTAAACATGTGTCTGGCTCAGACGGGAGCGACTTTCTACACCGAGAACGGGTGGCAGACCACTATTTAGCAAGGTGATTGTTGGCGTGGGGGAGGGGGGCGTTGGAATGAATTAGTTTGCCAGCTCAAAGTTACTAACTCCTAGTTTATAACAAGGATTTCGATATAATGGTATGCAAGGGGTTCTTCAAATATTTTTACGGGTTCAATTTTTTCAGGGGGAATCTCCAAACGTCTTCATTGGACACGAAAATAAATACCTCGGATCTGCATACTAGTATAGCGTTACTAGCAGAGAAGACTACTCTGCTATATAAATTTTTGTATCAGCAGTCTGAACTGTGTATGCAGTCGAAATACATGTAAATCACTTGTACTTTTGTTATTAATCTCGAACGTGGCATTAATATAATGTTACTTGCTATGATATAACGAAAGGTCAATTATATATCAAGAAATGATTGTTGCAGCATGGAGGTAGAAATTAGGCCTTCTCTCTTCTACCTCCATGGTTGCAGCAAGGGTGCATCAACTGAACTCCTAACCTTCCACTTCAAGATTTTATTTCGTCAAGTTAAAAAATGTTAAGGAAAATTTAGAACAACAATTCTAAGCCATTTTGTTTCGGAGCTCATATAGGAACCTTGGCAACTATCCAATCACCAGGTCCTAAACAGATATTTATGAGGCTGTATAAGAATGATTATGTGATGGTTTCAAACAGACATTATATATATACAACACATGTAGGATACAACGTTAATGTTTTTGCAATAATGAAAACAAATATTTGAGCTTTTTCATAGCTACCCAGGGAGACATGTCATTCAGCAGTTAGAATAATGCTTGTAGAAAATATCCTCTCAAGTGACAAAAGATATTTTTATTTCTTCTCAGTGCCAGGATGAAGACCACAGCAAAGCAGTGCATGGTGGGACACCTGGTCCTGGTAGCCTTGGTCCTGAGCCACGCAATCCTGGGACAGCTGGGATTCCTCGATCCACCCGCCAAGATCTGGGAGAAGATCTGGATCCTAAGTGCCATTCCCGCCTTGTTTGGGATCCAGTCACTTCCCAGGAGCAAAGTCAACCACATGAACGGCTTTTTCTACGGAGTTGCTGTATTGGGCTTACTTCCACTGTGTTGGGGAGTTGTAGACTTGCTTCCAGAACTTAGAACTGCAACACAGTTCATGTTTGGTTACCCTGCAGCCTATGTATACTACACTGGCATCAGTGTGGGAGCAGTGTTACATGTGCTGGGATTGTACTACAGTAGGAAGTTAGTGGAAGCCTGGACTTCGAAAGGACAGAAGAGACAGTAAATTCTGTTTAGTATCAAAAGATGAAACATCTGTATGATTTTCTTGCCATAATTGCCATAGCAGTTGTTTAATATATAATGTATGTACATGTAAGAGAAACTTCTGGTATTATTATCACATAACAAAGTTGTGAATGACAACAGTAGTTACATAAGAAAAAGTTTTGACAATGCAAAATCTTTCAAAATTTAAACACATCTAGAATGACCACTGTTTGAAAAGATCATAATTCTTTTCTTTAGTCCAACAAACTTGTAACTCCAAACTTAATTTTCACTATTAATATTGGCCACATACAGTATTAGTGTATTAAACCTCTGAGGAAATCTCATTTTGTGATATTACGGACAGGACAATAAATGTTCCAACTATAGACACTTGAATGTGTAAAATGAAGGTTACAAAAAATCTTGTCAAGTAGAGTTGAGACAAGAACTTGAAGTTTCAAAGAGTACCATTACAGAATGTAAGTATTTGTACTTAGGCCACACCAATTTAATTTGTTGTTTCTCGGATTTGTCTCTTCGTTTTTTCTGACTTGAAAAAAAACTGAATCAACTCAAAAATGCTCACATTTTTTCCCCAAACAGTTGAGGAAAGTCATTTTCTTCCTAGCTGTTACAGTTTTATCCATCTATCAATTCAGTGGTTTGATTAAAAGTTCAAAATTCATTGTTTAGATACAAATGTATTGACCCAGCCTTTTGTGTTGACTCCATGGCTCCTATGGTTGCATTTGGGGCTATAATAGGATGCCTGACCCTGTTTTTATTTTTTTATATTCGCCCAGTTGCTTCATAGTTTTTCGGGAAAAATCTGAGAACCAACAAATGAAATTGGTGTGGCCTTACCTGAATTGTTGCCCATTCCTGTAAACTCTGTGGTATGAGATAACTATTAGTAAGTACTCTTGGTTCTCTGCTAGAAATTAGGTCAAACAATCAATTCTACTTACCTATGCTGTGACTATCCACATTAGGCCACACCGAGTCATTTTTATGAATGACGTCCTCTGGAGACCCTAAATTTAATGGGAGAGCATTAAAAACACAAGAAGGGCCGAAAAAGCAAGATGCCTAGATTTGAAATATACTAAGGGACGACAAATTGAATGAGAGAACACAGTGAAACAGCCAACAAGTCTTTTAATCGTTATGAAACAGCAATAAATCAGTGGAACAGCAGTTGTAGTCCTGTCCTGTTTCTTCCCATAT